AGAGCCCTGGACATACCACAGAAAAGCTATTTCTATCAGCTGTCCAGGAGCTCCACTGCTAAAGTTTCAAATGAATCTCTGGATGGACACTTTGAAAAAAACAAAAGAGTTTTATTATAGTGCTGAGTGAATCCTACTATACAGAACAAGAGAATTTATGTATTTTTTCTTTTCTGTACCATCAGAACACCACAGAGCTGCATTTAGAATTTGATTTGTCATTCCCCATTGCTGACAGGAAGGGAAAGTTTCATTCATTAGTCATAAGAAGAATAGAGAATGCTGGATTTCACAAGAAATCAAAACATTTGGTTGCAGATCCAGAAGGCTCCATCAGTGCTGCACTCAGTGATGTGATGTTCACAGATGGGTGTCAAACTTTAGAGACTGATCCACTGATTCCTGAATTTAAAAGGCACTTCCTGGACTATCCTTACCTCTTTCTTGTCTGTATGTCTCAATCCTGAATTCCACTGCAGTTTTGTAGGTTCAAAGCAGGTTTCACAGCTGGTGAAAATTTTCAGCAAGCAGGAAATTGACAGTCATTGTAGCTAGGTAAGGACTATGCTTGTGTACAAGAAAGATCTTAGCTTGTTGGGGACCTGAAAACATGTCAACTAAAAAATTATTGTTTCTCAAACTCCTGCATAGATCAATGTACTTAACTTCAATAAGCATACTAACGAAATATAATTCCAGTTACTATTCAGAAATAACAAAGTCAACCAAACTAATCCAAATAAAATCTTTCTGTCAAACATTTGCTATGTATTTCTCTATAGATTATATATCTGCTATATTAAAACCCACCTTAATACTATTCTTCTAAAAGACAACAACGTTAAGCATTCAGGATTTAGGAAATCCTGGCAATTAAGGCTCCTGTGCAACCTTAATTCAACCTCTGTGGTACATATGTATTGTCATCATGTATGGTGAGACAGTCACATAGTGGTTTCTTCTTACAAGACCTCTGCCTCTTTCAATTACTTAGGAAGGACAGAGCCCTGTAGGTTTTTAATATTTAATTCTTTCCTCATGCAGTACACTGTTGCCTAATGCGTTATTTATTTAACATTATTCAAGCCTACTCTGAAAAAAAACCCACATAAAATTTTCTCAAGGGTTTTCTGCAGTGCTTACCATAACAGTGCTGCAATGATACACAAATGTTAATAAATCATTTCACAGGTTAAGAAGTGAGGCAGAGACATTAAAACCTGGTAAGCAATTTCAAATGTCTGCAACCTTTCCAATGATTATTTAGCATTGTATTTTCAAAGCTCATCTTCCACTAACTACAGCTACAGCTGTGAGCATTCAGCATTTCTGCAGCACTGTCTTACAGCCTCAAGTCAGAATATCAAGAAATATGGGGAAACAAAATAATAGCCAGCCTGGGAAGTCACTTAGATGTTAGAGCTTTCTCTTGGAACAATCCAGGTTTACAAAACTGGTCTGAACCAGCCATAAATTGAATTTCTAATCATATAGATTCCAGTCTGGAAAAGTTATGTCAAAACAGAAATGTGTCCATGAGTTTCTTTGTTTTGATAGACTGGAGTTTTGTGACAAAAACATTGTGCAGAAAAATTCCCCATCAGTTCCCTTTGCAGTAAGGACACACCAAGAAACCAATTTAAGTTTGTTCCAAAATTCATTTTTTGGTATTTAGCTTTATAAGTGCTTTAGAGTGCATCCATAATAGTAATATAAATCATTTACCAGTGTGTGTGGGCACTCTGGTTCCACACCAGTGAATGCAGACGTGTTCATATTGACAACTGCATGTAGACACAGATGTGCTGGGACATGGTACTACATTGACTGGCAGCATTCTTATTTTAATTTGTATACAGTGATTAAGCAAGATGGAAACAGGATATAAACAAAATAATCTGCTATTTCTGACAATTTTTGTCAGCAGTGGCAGACATGTCACTTCGGAATACGATTTAGTGGTGAACTTGGCTGTGCTGGGTTAACAATTGCACTCAGTGATCTGAAAGGTCCTTCCCAACTGAAATGACTCTGTTTCTATGAAACAAGAAGCCTCAAGCTTTAGCTTACGCTGTAGTATCAGGTTGCTTCCACAGCTACGAACAGCTATACACAGACAATAAATTGATTTTAAAAATATTGCTGAATTCATTGTTGTTGTAGTATTTACTTCTCTAGACAGGTTTCTAATTCATTCAGGAAGGATATTACAGGGGAGGGTTAGGAGATGGGGAGGACTTTGCAATGGGAATAGGCTATACTTTTACCCTAGATGTTACACAGAAAGAATTTTAATAAAACCACCAATTGTATTACATCAGTGTATCCTCTTAAATCCCATAGAGATTTTCCTAAACAGAGCTAAGCCATTTGCTTCAAACATCTTATCTATTTCTGTCACTAGACAAATCCCCTAAATATTTCAGTCACTGCAAGACCAACTGAAATGGTAAATTACCTTGTATACTAAAGGGAAAAGTGTTGAATAGCACTAGGTTTGGATCCTGCTGAAAATGAGGCTGCTGGGATTGAAGACAACTGCAGGAAAATCAGAATTATAAGCAGTATCATCCCTGTCCAATAATTACACTAGTGCCTATTGGTAACATTCCTTTATACTTCTCCTTGCTTTTATTTTGTCTGATGAGACATTCTGCTATTTTTCTAAGCGGATGTTGAAAGAGAATGGACAAAAGATGGCCTTACCTATTATTCTTTGCAATAGAACTGTTTGCAGACAGGTCATCAGAGGCTACAGCAGCTTTTGGAAAAGCTGACGATAATACAATGAAAGCATTTCTGAAACCTAAGGCTGCCTCTGCTGTACTTTTCCTTCTTCATTTTACAGTGTCAAATGCTTTTCTTAGTGCCCTTTAGCTAATTTTGGAAGGAGGGACTTTTATTAGATGGCTGGTATTAACCTGGGAATAAAGCTAGCAGCACTAGGGCACAAACCCAAGTGACTCAGATAAGGTTCAAATTCACTTACAAACTTATTCATAAAATTCTACAATGAAGGACAAATCCAAAGAACAATTAGCTTCTGCCACTACATGAATTATCCTTCTAACAAAACCACCAGAGCGTTAACTGTAATCCCAGGAACTGACAATTCATAATGATGACATCAGCCTACAAAGGGAAAGCAGAAAGAAATGTGTGGAAAGTATTATTATCCTCCCTTATTCTCTAGGATTATTATTTGTAGTTTGTGGTACCATCTCACTTGGGATACAAGCCTTTCAGTTGTAAGCCTTGACATTGGAATTTTTTTTAAGATGTCCTTATCAGGAAAAGACATAAGGATTCTATTTTCAGCAAAGATCCTGAGTTTTGAGGCTTTTCCACACCCTTTATAGATGACTCAGAAGTTTAAAGGCAAGTCAGGAAGTAAATGACATATTTACTAACGGACAGCAAACTCCAGAACACATGCCTGTAATTCTTATGTACTATTAAAGCATCTATAGTTGCATATTATTAAATACAGTAGGGACAATAGTGCCACAAAATTCTGATCAATCCTCCAAAATTTGACCTCATTTACACTAGTAAACAACTTGCTGGCAACCCTAGTGTGAAATGACCTCTGCTCTCACATCATGGGGAGATCTTCAGGAAAAGGCTGGTCATACACTTTGCTATATGCCAGAAAACACTCTTCATTAGTACAACCCCATCCCAAGACCATGGAGGAGGTCCCAATGTTTTGGACTCTGTCCCAGTTCTATACTAATTCTGGCATGGACATCTTTTGTCCCTGACCATCTTTCAAGACAGCACCAAGTCCCAGTGGCACATTAGAGGGACAGCATCCGTGTGCAGATGGCTCTCTGCAGTGGAACACTATTTTGCACTAAAGAATTTCCATTCTCCTCATTTCTCCAGCCTGCTCCATGCCCCACTAGTGCTGGCCTCTGCATTGTCTTGCTCCTCTGTAACTTAGGAAATTTGGGATCTTCATGTTAGATGCCAGTGGCATCTCCTCCTGTCCCAAACTGCCCCTCACCTGTGCTGCTGCATTGTCCCTCCAGGAGACAAATGCATACCTTAAGGCTGTTCTGCTCGATTTTGTAACAAAACTGCTTACTGTTCACCAGGGACTGGCCTTAAAATCTTGGATTGTTGCCATCCTGCTGCCAACCCCACCCCTCCCCACCTCGTCCCCACCACCCCTGTCTTTGTTTTCACTGATGTCTAGTTCTTTAAAGCATTAAGTTGGCCTGGATATGTATCGGATGTCAAGTGGGATGACAATGCAGCAATGCTGTCACAAAGGAAAATTAACAGCATGTTTCTATTTTGGCAGAAACCAGTTGTTCATGTGGGACTGGAATCTCATTGAGTTGTGCTATTTGTACCTAAAGAGCAAGCAGCATGGACAAGATGCCTGGTTGAGCACGTATGCCTGATTAGCATCTAGATTTTAAAATACAGTTGTGGGTGCACTAGAAGAAATACATGTTTTCCGGTGAACTAACTGTGGTGTTTGGATTCAGAAAATTCCCTGCTGGGCTTTTTAAAATAGGCTGTCATATTTACATGCCTCCAAGAAGGAACTTCAAAAAATTAAAAATAGTTCTCTCTCATATGATGACAAAATGATACCAGCTTTTCCTTTTCTGAACTGAAACTCATGCTCAGAAGGAAGTGGAAGCGAATCTTCATCTCTCATTTTTTTTGAACTTTCTTGAAGGCTGACGCCAACATGTTGCTATATGGGTTGGGCACATTTTTTTCCTTGAAAGAGGTCAGAGGGGTGAAATCCCAATTTCCTCTGACTTCACTGTGGAAAGAGGCCACAGCATATTTCTGCTGAATGTTTATACTTTTCTTGGGATTTTCTTTTTCTTTTTCTTCTTTAAACAATTTATGACATTTTCTGGAAATCAAGGAAAACAGAAGTATGTTCAGACCAACTTGAAAAGCAAGCAAATTTACATAAATGTTGGGACAAAAGCTTTCCAGTTCATCATTCTGAAACCAATTTACAACTGTGTGGCTCCAGCTGCAGTGTCCCAGGTAGAGCACCCAAGGACTGTCCCTGATTTGTGCAGGTCAAGAGAAGTGAAGAGGAAGGTTTGGTGCTGCAATGAGCACACATTCTTCCAGCAGGTGGGGGTTGTTCAGTGACCTCCATTCTCCTTCTGGCATGGCTGGAATCTTCAACCTTCCTATCATGGGGCTCTTTCTCAATGCTGTAGTCCAGCCTCAAGCCTGGAAAGCAATGCTAGAACTATTAGGTAAGGCAAAAGCGTTGTTGCAGTTCCTTCTCAAAGCCTATTAGATCCACTATAGAAAAGGGTGTTTGTTTGAAAGAAAAAGCTTACCAGTGCCTATATGCAAAGAGATAACTGAAGTCAGCAATAAAAGACAGTTTAACAGACCTGTGAACTATGTACTGAATCCTCCCAGCTACAGTATACCGTTTCCTTCAATTTAATACCTTAATTTCACCCACAATTCTTTGGACATAAAAGGTTAATGCAAGAATGCTATATCCCCTGGTGTGCAGACTGTTGTCAGCTCCCATCTCTTCATCTAACCTTCCAAGTACAAATCAGTTCTTAGGTATGGAAGAAATGAAGAAAGATGTGATTAATACTTGAAGCTGTTCTCTGGTTTCTGTCCTCTTGGCAGAGGCTGTAGCAGCAATGATCAGATCAGTGCCAACCTTCTGACATCACACTTTGCACAATCAAAATCCCCAAAGATTTGGTATAATCCACAAAAATCCTGGAATACTCTATTTGAACCACTGATTTCTGATGTTGCCTTTGGCCTTTAAAGCTTCAGTATCTGGGTTTATTTTCCATAAGAGATCACTCTGAGTTAATACAACTGTTCTCTCAGTATAGGATAAGCAAACATTGGAACCTCAATTGGGAAACTCATCCTGAAGAGTTTTCATTTTAGTGCCAGCTTCTAGTGGAAGACTTTGAACTGCTTTGCTAAGGACTAATGAAATAGCCAAGATGCCAAACACTCCTTGGAGCTTATTAGGATTCACTCTTACCTTCTCTGATCCTTCCTTTCCTCATGAAGCAGATGAGACACTGTAGTTACAAGCAATTTGACCAGCTTTTGCAGCTCAGAACAGTGGAATGTTGTCTGTGAAGAAACATCACCCAAAATGGCAATAGAGCCCTATGCTCCAGATACCATAGCTCACATTCACTCGTCCATGAATTAATTTCAACTTATTCTTGATAGTTACCACTTGCACACATGTTGTAAAGTAGACTTAAAAAACTAGATATGACTCCATTAATTTCAGTTTATCTATGCTTGGTTTCTCTCTACATCTGAATAAAGCCTGTGATGTTATTTTTAGACACCAAGCAATGTGTTTCAAGTATTCCATCACTGCCATAATTTAAAATGATTCTTTACTATTTGATGTGACTAATTAATCTTAAAAATAAAAAAGAGAGTAAAACTGATCAGCAACATCAAAGAGTATTGAGAGCAAGCCTCTCTATACACATGGAGATGTTTCTTAGGACATTTCTTAGGACCTCAGGAAAAATAATAAAGCAGATTAGACAGATTAGAAATAAACAATTGCAGTTAAGAACTTTAAAATGAAACTTAAATAAAAGTACAGGAAAAGAAAAGAATGGGCTAATGTTGAAGTCATCAGACTAAACTTACGCATTGCACAAAGATTATATTTTTTCCACTAGTAGAAATACCTGTCTGGATCACTCCTGATGGTAGAATTCCATCCAAGTTAGACGTAGCAGCTTAGACAGGAGACAGAAATTCTGCGTTAGGAAATTAGCCAGTTAATTAAGTATTTGTCAACAGGAAAAAAAGCTACAGGCACAGATGGATTCCCAACTGAGATTTTTAAGTTTTTGGAAGTAATACTGTGTTCTAAGCTTTAATGATGTTTTTGAAGTCAAGGGCAGTTAAAACTGAATGAAACTGATGGAAATACTGTCACCTTTAATGAAGATAAACCAGTGAGCCTGTTGCCATTTGCCAAGTTATTTCAATATTAAAAAATACCTACAAATAATTTGGCAAGCAGACTGGAAAACTGCATAAAGCACTTGATTGGCAGAGATCACGTTAGTTTAAGTTCTGGCAGGTGGATAACATCTGGCAGCTTATGGATTGAGTTGTTAAAGGAATGAAAGTGACACAGTTAAATGTTGTATAAGTTTTTCTTACTGTCTATGGGGATAATTATTGTAAGCATGACAGATAATAAAGAGCAGATCTGAACAGCTGGACAACAGTAAGATGAGGTTAATCATTTTGCATCAAGGAAGAATTGTTCACACTTTGGAAGGAACGTGTGAGCAACAGTGACCTCTCCCTTGCACCTCTCATTTTCAATCTATTAGAAAAGAGTAAGTGCAGCAGATCCAGAGATAAATAAGGAAACAGCAATAATTAGCTAAACCAGATGAATGGATAACTGCACCATCACAGGCATAACAGGTGTGTTAAATCAATGTTTTGAAAAATCTACTGACAAATGTCTACTGATAGCTGCCTGATAGCTGGTTAATACTGAAGAATAATCAAGCTGCCTTTTTTAGCAGAGGACACAAATATGTCCCTAACCCTAACACCTGACATGGCTAAACTGCTCCAAATTGTTTTAGGCTGATGTTATCCAAGATAAAAAACTGCACTAGTGACTAACTTACCAACTATCTGGCAAGTACATCTTGGCTGCATGCAGCCAGTGCTGTCTCCATGATCATATATTTTGCTTGTTCATATTCCCAAGTATTTTTAAGAGGCAAAGATAAGTGCAGAACTGGTGAAAGAAAATGCCAAACACTTGCTAAGATACCAAGGAGATTTTGATCACCTTGCTGTAAAAAACAAGAGAATTCACGCTGTGGTATTTTGAAGATGTCTCCAGAATCTGTTAGAGGGAGAGAGGTGGGCTGAGATATCAATTGAACTCATACCTGACTAAATACAAATAGTGCAGCTCTGCTATTCTGGTACAGAAAGCCCTTAAATATTTCATGCAGGACAAACAGTATTAACTAGCATTTTCAGAGGAGCCAAATGAACTAAAGTGTACAGATCCCATTAAATTTTCTGCTTAACTCCTAATTAGTCTCTAAAAATTCCATCATTTTTTACAGAGAGAGATACAAGTTACTCTGTTTTCTCAATTTCATTTAAAATCACATTGCATTTCAATTGAAATTTTCCTCAAAGTTAAGAACTTTGCTGAAAGTAATTCGTTAAGAATTTAATTTTCACCAAGATTTAAAGTTAAACCACAAACGTATTAGTTACACTTTAGTCCTTTCCTAAAGAAAAACACTAGCACTGATATAATAAAGATATCCAGAATATTTTTATCAAAAAAACCTTAGAGTAAAATATTTTATCTTGTATTTTTTTAAGTCATAGTTAGAGGGATTGCTTTTTGTGTTGTTCTCCATATTAAAAAAAACCAAAAAACAAAAACCTGCAAACAAACAAAAAAGAACCCAAAAAACCCAAGCCTTCCTACACAAAAAATCACAACAAAACAATATTTTGAGGACCAAAAATAAAGAAACAAATACAGAATCCAAACTGTAATACAAATTCTTCTTTTTTATTTTGGCCACAGGGTCCAGCAGCCTCTTCAACAACTCCCAGTTCCCAAAAAAATTATGCCTTCTTTTTTTTCATAAATGGGAAAAAGCAGGACTTCAAAGCACAAGAGAGTTAACTAAAGGAGGGTTGGATTTTGAGATGTCACAAAAGCATTTATATAAAATTAATTTGAAAATGCAGTTATTTCAAATCTCAGAGAAAGGGTAGAGTTTGCAGACCACATGCAGAGGCAAAGAGGTGATAATTAATTCTGTGAAAGGACCACGGACATAATTTCAAAACACAGCAGTGAACCTAATAAGCCTGATACAGGAGATGAAAGTTAATTATAGGAGTAAGTAGGGGAAAGACTTCTGATAAGAAAATTCCCATTGTGTTTTGGACCCCTAAAGTGAAGGAGGGTGGCTATCTCGACAAGATTTTTTCCTAGCAATAAAAGAAAATAATTAAACGCTATTAATTCAGAAGCACCAAAAAAATTTATTCTTTCAAGATAATTCACAAAGATGTGTATCACTGGCTATCAGAGAGAGTGTGGGCTGAAAGGCAGGTAAATTTTATGCAGATTCAACCAGGCCATATGGACTTTAATTGGATGATAAAATGATGCAATATTGGATAAAAGGTAAAATTATCACTTCCTGCATTTAGTGCTATAATAAGACTCATGAGTATATGCCATAAAAAGAAATGCCTTTAGCTCCAAAATGTGAGTAATAAGCCAAATTTTATTAATTCTGGACAGTTAGCATGCGTGTTGAAAACCTAGATACATAGATGGCAACTTCAAAGCTCTCTTCTAGAGAAGAAAAAAATTAGTGCAATGCAGACTTCCTCCAGTATTTTGATGAGATGGTAGCAAGTGGGGTTTTTTGTGGGCATATGAATTACTTTGCATTAACAGAAGAAATATGTGCAGTACACTGAGAATTGATTTACCCTACAACGCACATAAATAATGGGATATCATGATGCCATCCACAGTACCCAAAACCTAACAAAGTATTGAGACACAGATTGAGCTGACTCAGAGAAGAGCAAAGATGGTAAAACCAGAGATATGTTAGAATATCCTAAACTCAAATGAAAATGGGCTGCCAAGAAGACAGCAAACATGGAAGCAAAATTTTTACATTTGGCACATGCTACAAATTAAAAATATTAATGTCACAAGCAGTAATGTTTTACTATTTTGCTTCTATCTTTCTATCTTATGATTTCATTAATGAAAATTGAAAGGTGCAAGGAAGAGAATAAAAGAGGTTAAATATGGAACAGACACCTGTTTTAAAAATATCTATTGGTATTGCAAGATAGTTACTGTTTTTTCCTCTATGATTGACACCTTTGTGTTCCAAATAAGATTATTGGTGTTCGTTTCATTTCTGAGAGTCAATTTGGAGTGCACTCAAAGAAGACCAGTGCATTCACCTGGCATGTCTACAGCTTGTACTTTCTCCACTGAAATATTTTGAAGTCCTCATACCCTTGGCCTTATTCAGTATTTCCATCCTCACAAAAGCTCAAAAATATATTTTAAAATGTTGTAGAAGACAGCATGAAAAGCAGAAGCAAATCTGGAGGAATTTTCCTGACGAAGTTACTGTACATCCTAGCATCTTACCAGGAAGTACAAGCTTCCATTTGTACAGATCACACTTGAGAGTGACATACAAGATACTTTTTATAGATTTTGGTTTGGTTTGGTTTTTTTTTTTTTTTGTTATTTGCGTGCTCCATTAGGAAGAGTGGATTGGGAGCACAGGAGCATACAGACAGCGAACATTTTGGCCATGCATGTTTGCTGTTCTCAGTACACTAGGAATGCTTACAACCAGTAATCAACTTTACAAACCTTGATACAAACCGCACCAATTCCTATTTGCAACCTTTTAACAAGCATCGTACCCCTTGGAGCACAAGCGGAGGCTCTGGAATTATTACTAAGCAACCTCATTATCCTAATCAACCCCCTCCTTAAACTTTCCCTTTACTGGGCCAGCACTGCTCAGCTTGTTGCAATAAATACCCTGTATCATGCTGTTCAGTGCTGCCTTGCACCTCCCTGATCCCTAGCCCTGATCCACTGTACACACCTACAGGCCCTGGCTGCTTTTGGTATTTCTAGTTAGTTCCATTGGGTGATTCCCAGTGGTTAGGGTGACTCCTTCAGCATGTGGCTGACTCCACAGACTGAGACTACTTGACCCATTTTATTTTGTCTGCCTGTCTAGAAGCCTGTCTAAGAAGCCCCAGTTAATGAAGACACACTTGATAATGGTCTTGCCTTATCAAGAAGCACACATTGTTTTTTTCTTCAGCTGATAATGCTTACAGATCAGAAATTTATTCAAAGAATCCAATCCATTCCCTTTTTTCCTATACTCTGCTCTTCTTTCCTCTGCCTCTCCTTTCTGCACTGGATTCCATTTTTCTGGGTACTGCCTTCTGGTTTTCCACAAGATGTCCAGCAGAAACATGTGAAACAATGTTTTCATATTCCAAGGTTATACTGTTCCTCCTGTCTCTTAAAGCACTGCCTGACAAGTAAGTCTCTAAATAGCAAAAATAAAGTTGTTCATTCTGGAGGGAAGGCCAAGCTGATCTGTCCTCTAGGGTTCTTCTTGTCTCTTCCCAAGCAGCTGAAATCAGTCTTGATAACAAGCACAAGCAGCAAGACTATATTTTTCCAGGCCAGAAATATCCCAAGAAAATATCTGAATTGTGGAAAGAGCTTTCTAGCAAGTGATTTGTGCTCTGCAGTTTCTTTCCATGATCATAAATGCCAGAAAGACCTTGGGTCACATGCTGGAGGTCAAGACAACTTTCCTCCTCCTTTTCAACACATGAAGGACCCTAGAAGTCTGCAAAGACTGTATAATAGTCTTTTTCCATCCTCAATTCCTGAACTTGAATAGCAGCTGAGCAAGAGGGATATACATGAACAACAAAGTTCCCATAGCCTGCAGTCCACATTTCAGTCCTTTACCAAAAAGAAAGCCTCACACATGAAAGAATAAGGTGTATCCAGAAGAACAATCAAGGGCCCTAAATAAAAATATTGTTCCTCATAATGCTTATATTCTTTAACTTCTTTTGTTTCTTTGCAGTCTCCTGCATATAAACACACAGCATCTGTGATGTGAACAATCTTGAGATTTGTAAAGTGCTTTCACTATCCAGATTGTAAAGGAATTCAGAGGGGTAACAGACAGGAGCTAACCTTGAACAGAAACTCTTCTAAGCCTCTATGCTACTCTCTACCTTTCATATTTGCTTGTAATACCCCAGAATCTGTCACAAGTTGTCATAGCTACCAAGGGGGTAGATTTTCAAAGTTAAGTGCATGCCAACATCCATCTAACAGAAAGACACAGTACATTTTAAATCTGCAGTTCTTTTCACCAGGAGTTAATGATGCAGCCAATTTGAGCATCACAAGGCACACAGACATTAAAAATATAAGGATTCAAAGAAAATAAGTTATGACAAGGCAATTTTAAAAATGTACTTACAATCACCAATCCAACCCAAAGCAAACAAAACCAATCATTTCACAAAACTGAAGCATGTGCCACAAGAATGTTCTGCTGGCTGGTGTTTTCAAAAGAGTTCTATTGTTCAAAGTAGCTGACATTGCCAAAAGATACAATAATTTTATTACATTTTCTTAGTGAACAGTAAACTTCTCTGTGTACTACAAAATGGAGGAAGAACTGCAGGGTTTTGAATGGAAGAAAAATATGCATACTAAAACATTTCTGCTGCAGGCCTCAGCCATCAAAAAAAAAGTTCAAAGAAAACACAAAATACAGAAATAAATTACCAAAATTTTACGAAAGTATCAACACCTAGTTGTTTGTTTCTCTGATTAATTACATATAGACAGCTAGAAGAGCAGAAGTTTATAGGTCTGTGCTTAAGGTAATTGCAAAAAGTATGTAAATTTAGACAGCTAGTCAGTGGGAAAAAAGGAAGATGTGATTAATCAACAAGATTAGATAGAAAATTTCTTTGCATATAAATGTAAGGAGCAACTGTGCTTTAATTGTAGCATTGAGAGAATATGTCTTTCAAATGTTAAATTATTCATCGTATTACATACTTGAATGATTTTTTCTTAAATGTTCATGTAGGAGGTAAAAATTCTACAGACAATACTTTAAGGAAGATACCGTAGGAAAATTTATATGAAAATTTTAGGAGTCGCTTATCTGCCTAGACTGATAAATAGTAAATATGAAAAGATACAAAAAATAAAAACAATGAAAAAGAACTTTGAGAGACATCGTTTGAGAAGTCTGTTTCTTAGA